AAACTGTCTCCATTTGTTCACCATGCGATTGAACATTAATCCTAAAATGGATTTAAGACTGAAGATCCTGTTTGTGTCTCACTCAGCAACTTTATTTTATGTGACAAATCCCCCAAATCAGACAAATCAATCAGCCATCGTTATTGGAATATTATTGGATTATTATCAGAGATGGAAACACAAGAGAGGAAGATAAAGACACATGAACTCACTGCAGAAACCATCTCTATCACGTATATTTACAGGATGCAACAGGAGACATGGGGATATCGGAGAGTGACGAGGAGATAGCTGCTGTCTCAGGATGGTGAGTAACATTAGCTGTTAGCTCATAGCTGGTGGCTAACGTAGCCAAAGTGCTGCTTGTTGTCACATTATTAGCTAAATGTGCAGATGTATTTACAGCCTGACCGAGAGATCCATCCAAAATGTAATCTGGTTGGAGGGAATGGGGAGACTGGGTCATGAGCAGCAGGCTAACTGCTAGCACTCCATTAGCCTGCTACAGGGAGCCACACGACTGTGACACGTGTGCTGTCAACAGATAAAACTTTGGCCCCCGGGGCCTCTGGTCCCTGAAACTTTGTGGCTGCTCTGAGACCAGAGGCTTCCTGGCACCTGCAGATATTTGCTGGTGAGGCGTGCCTGGCCGTCAGGTTTGTAGTTAAGGCCTTTTTAGATCTTATTGACTCTTTTAATCTCACACAATCTGTGGCTGGTCCTACCCATGAGCATGGGCACACCTTGGACCTTGTTTTATCTTATGGTGTACCTGTTCGTGAGTTGGAAATCTGTGATGCTGTGTTTTCTGATCATTTGCCTGTGTTATTTGCAATTGATCTTAATTATTATCTTACTGCCCCTTGCGCTGCCCCACGGCTCTGCCGTGTATTTAATTCCTCCACTTTCACTCAATTCTCTGACTTTATTAATGGAAACCTCATTATTCCTGATTCTACGGATACAGAAGAGCTTGCATTACACCTTCACTCTACCTGTCAGGCCGCCATCGATGTGGTGGCACCATTGAGGACCAGGTGCCACAAGACTAGGCTCGAGCCCTGGGTAAATGAAGAATCCCCTGCTGCCAGGCGG